CTATCAAAAATAAGAATTCCAAACATCAGCATGATGCCAATGCTCATAAATAAATTCTACAAAATCACTCATAAAACAAGAGGCTTTATTTACTATAGAAAAGGTGGCATTGTATTTACAACAATAATACACTGTATTGTAGAGCTTGTAAGTTGATTTGTAGAGTTGTAAGAGATCATATTGTAAGTTGATTGTTAAAGAACACGCTAGTAAATAAATTTTACAAAATCACTCATAAAACAAGACTTTATTTACTATAGAAAAAAATGGCATTGTCCTTACAACAATGTAGAGATTGTAAGTTGATTTGTAGATGTAAGAGATCATATTGTAAGTTGATTGTTACAAGAACACGCAATTATGCTTTAATGAGCTATGAGAACTACATATACAACGTACCAACAATAGTAATGATCAATTACTTTTCTCTATCATGTAGCAACAATTGATCTTTTTTGGGTCGATAGAAATTAAATTTTAAGCTTGATAGTGCTACATACATGTACATATGCTACTACATAATGTACAGTACACATGTCATGACATGACTTAATGTTCACACTGTACACTTCAATCTGTCAATATCCTCTATTCCTCTTACTTGTCCAAAATTGATAAATTCCATAACCCACTCATCAGCGATAGGAAACAAGCCACGCCTCCAATCACTCCGCCCACCAGCGGCAAATAAAACCAGTCCGATACCAGTATTAGGATACTAGAGACTCGTAAGAATAGGAGACCAAAGTGACTAAGACATGCTCTCTTAAGAATACTCAGACATGTAAACGATACAGTGAATATTAGTATCAACACGATAAGTGAGAACTGTTGCCATAACGAGAGAGGGGAATTACTATGAAGAAGGCAGGATAATTGTCCGAAACAAATCCACCATAACAACCCTAATTAAAAGGATGCAAATGTAATATTGACACTGGTAATTCGCTACCGTTGAGGATTTCGATGAGAATGACACGTTTGCGACTCCCTTGTCTGGTTGGGGTGGTCTCGTAGTACCCGTGTGTCACTTCATCTTCTAGTTGGTCGAGGCTTTGAAACTGGATGATACTCTGAGCTCTGTGTCTGTGGTGGGCCCTAGTGAACGAGGGGGAAAGAAAATAAAACTTAGGTGTGAAAATCACGTAGCATATATATATAAAGTATACAATATTAATCATATTTTAATAATAGATTGATATGTATATTCGATCAATTGCCGAGATAATCTTACAAGCGTCTTCTCTTAGATTGCACTGGAGTTCTCTCTCCTTCTTGAACAGCATCCATCTCGTCTATCTTTTCCCAGTCTTCTCTTTACTCGAGCTTTGTGACATGCAACCCAATGCATATGAATATTAATGACCTTGAAGTTATAAAATTTATAACTTTTATAATCCAATTAATTAATTGTAATTATTGCAATCCAAATGTGATTAGAATCAGCCTTACTACACTATATAAGTACATGTATATCAGTAAATTATATTATTTCTTTCTCTCAGAAATAAATTAAATTAAATAAAATAAAATAATCGTTTAGCACTAATTATCCTAAGAGTTAATCACCAGAAGAGGCAAATTGAGAAGATGGTACTACAAGATTACATTATCATTATAGAAATCAATAATCACATTATATTCTCTTTTGGCAAAAATGTATTCATTTATTATTAATTATTGTACGAGATTTGAAGAGCTTCCTGGTAAAAAGGTCAGCTATAGATAGCTTTATATATGAATCATTTTCTATTTAACTTTTTTGTGTCTCAATGATTATATCAAAAAATGATAGCTACAAAACAATTCACAAAAGAAACTAAAAAACAGCATATAAAAGAGTGTAGCAGCTAACTAAATCAACTAATGATATGAAGCGTTATAGTTACTTGGAGTAATCTACTATTAGTTGTACACATTTTTTGGCACTTGTTTCATTTCTTGTTGATCTGTATATTTTCTCTCACTTTCCTTTTTGCTTCTTTTATGTCGAACAATCACAAGTACCAGGACAATAACAGCAATCATTGTCACAATCACAAGAGGAATCAATATCCCAACAGTCAATCCAACAGCTAGACCAACATTATCAGCATCATCAACTGTTGTAGTAGGAACTGGAATTATTGGTAATGATAACAAAATGTTTAAAATAAGTTCATGCTCACTATTTTCTTCACAAAAATCTCCAGTCAATCCAGGCAGACAAGTACATATGTAGCTACCTGCATGATACTGACAATCTCCACCATTGCAGGGATTTTGTATACATTCTGTGGTAACTATATCAAATTTATGAAACTACATTTTATACCCGTAATCATGAATTACCTATTGAATCACAAGTGCTTCCTTCATAACCTTCTCCACAAGCACACACATCAGTGCTTACACATGCACCATGGACACAAGGTGGATCACAAATGACTAAAAAAGTATTCAATATGAATCTTGTTGATATAATAAATTACTTGGCTGAGATAGATTTACGATTGCTTCAAATATTTTCCCTCCATTGAGTGTTGCTTCTCCAATCTCAGTTCTTCCAGTAGCTGCTATATCAAACTTACAAAAATTATCATTACCACAAATTTCATTTGCTTTCTCTTCCAAGCTGGCATCAGTGAACTCTGGCTCATAGACAGGAGTGAATGATGGATCGTAATATGTTGACCACCTCTTTGGAAAATCATAGAAGAAAAGGCTGTCACTTGGATCACTGATAATCCCTAGACATTAATAAAGCTAATAACGTTTACATCATTATCATATGACTTACATGTGATGCCAAATCTTTCATGAATAGTTTGTAGTGTGGAGTCCAGTGGTAATGGCTCAGTGCTTCCTCTTGGTGTCATATCATCATTCATATCTCCATTAAATATGCCCATTAGTCCACGTGTC